GAGGGTCTCATAGCAGGTACGAGGGGAAATGCCGGCAGTAGGTACGGATATGGGTGGGGAGCCTGGTAACAGGCATGGACAGAGGTCCCACTAATATATACTGGTATGGGTAGACGTCACAGTGATTGATACAGGTATGGATGGGGATCCCTGTAACATGTATGGGTATAGACAGGGGTCCTGATTATGGGTACAGACCCAGGTGGGGTCCCAGTACTCGGTACAAGTATGGACGGGGATCCCCATATGGATACAGACAGGGTTCCCAGTAATGGGCACAGGTTTGGATAGAGGCCCCATGACATACAGGTAACAGACAGGGTGCAGACCAGTGGGGGTCCCAATACCAGGTATGGGTATGGATGGAGGTCATAGTAATGGCTGCAGATGCAGGTGGGGGATCCCTGTTGCAGGTATGAGTACAGGGTGAGGGGGCTCTCAATAATAGGTACAGGTTGGGAGTCCTGGTAAGGCTCAGGGTGCCCTCATTGTCACAGGTAGGGTCCTCAGCAGAGGCCTCCTCACCAGTGCAGACAGGGCCCCGTGGAGCACCTCACTGTGGTGACTGCACCCCAAACCTGCAGGGTGCCCCACCACCTGTCCACTCTGCAGTTCCTCCTGGGGCAGAGCGATGTGGGCCAGAACCGTGCTGAGGCATCCCAGCGAGTCCTGGCTGAGCTGAACCCCAGTGTGGTGGTGGAGGCTCATACCGGGGAGCTGTCAGAGGCCTTCCTCGCCTCCTTCCAGGTGAGCCTGTGTCCCCATGCCCTGGGGCCCCTTGGGATGGTGGCATCCACTGATAGTCCTGGCACAGGTGGTGGTGCTGACTGAGTCGCCGCTGGAGGAGCAGCTCCGCATTGGGGACTTCTGCCATGCTCAGGGCATCTGCTTCATTGTGGCCGATGCCAAGGGGCTGGCAGGGTAAGGGATCTCTGCCATGGGGCCCTGCCACTGGCTCCAAGTCACCTTATCCCCAGAGCTCCCAGCCCTGTGCTGCAGTCCCCATCCCGCTGGCCCAGGCAGGATCTGGCAGTGCTGGGGCAGCTTGATAAGGCAGCTTCTCCAGCAAAGCCCCATTGGTCCTCTCCAGGCAGCTGTTCTGTGACTTTGGGGAGCACTTCGTCATTGATGACCCAGCAGAAGGGGACCCGGTGTGTGCCACCGTGCAGCACATCTCCCAGGTAGAACAGAGGGCAGCCCCCGCTGGGTCCTCCCAAATGCTGCTGCCCCTCTGCTGGCTCTCTGCCACCCTAGACCAGTCCCCCACCCTCACATCCCTTCCCCTCCTCAGGGCAACCCAGGAGTGGTGACATGCGTGGGGACAGAGGACAGCCACGGCCACCAGTTCTGCGACGGTGACCTGGTGACGTTTTCTGGCGTGGAGGGGATGACAGAGCTGAACGGCCGGGAGCCTGTCCCCGTGCATGTGCTGGGTGAGACCCCGGGGGGGTCCCAGCTGCCCTGGCTCAGGGTTGGGGACCTCACTGGGCCCTTGGTGGTGACTCTGACGTGACGTCCACGCCTGTCTCATCCCCAGATGCCTTCAGGCTGGAGATTGGTGATACCAGCTCCTTCTCACCCTACCGCCGCGGGGGCCTGGTTTCAGAGGTGCGGCAACCCCGGGAGTGTTCCTACGTAAGTCCCCCTTGGCCCCGGGGTGCTTCTGCACCACCATGCTGTGCTGTGCCGTGCCTGGCCCTGGGGAAGCACTCACCCAATCCCTGGTGCTGTGCCGGCAGGAACCCCTGTGCCAGGCACTGGAGGAGCCCAGGATCCAGGTGGCAAGTCCTGAGGAACTGCCACGCAGCCGCAGCCTGCACGTCGCCTTCCGGGCCCTTCACGCATTTCGCAGGGAGCAGGGCCGCCTGCCCCGGCCCCGGGTGCTGGTGAGTCCCCGTCCTGCCCCTGCCCAACTCTCCGGCCCCTCACCACTCTGCCGGGGGCTCCCCTCACCCCTCTGCCCGCAGGCAGATGCCGAGCGGGTGCTGGAGCTGGCGTGGAGCCTGGGGACACATCCCCTGGATGAGGACATCGTGCGCGCCTTTGCCTGCGTGAGCGCGGGGAACCTGTGCCCCGTGGCCGCCGTCGTCGGGGCATTGGCAGCCCAGGAGGTGCTGAAGGTGAGCGGGGGCGGGGGTCCCACCCCTGGGGTCCCGCTGGCCATGGCTCTTCACTGGCGTTTGGTGGCCACGAGAGGGCACTTGCTGCCCGCCTGGGGACGCTGGGACGGGCAGCAGGGCTGGGGCGGGGTGGGGGGTGAGCACCGCGCTGGCCACCAGCTGACAGGGCCATTCGCCCCAGGCCATCACTAGGAAGTTCCTGCCCCTGAACCAGTGGTTGTACTTCGATGCCCTGGAGTGCCTGGCGCTGGCGGGAGCCGCGCAGCTGACGGAGGTGGACTGTGTCCCGGTGAGACTCTCTGCCCAGCCTCTCCCGGGTGCCTGGCGTGCCATGGCCACTGGGCTTACACGACTCCTCATCCCGGCAGAGAGGCTCTCGCTACGACGGCCAGATCGCCGTCTTCGGGGCCAACTTCCAGGAGCAGCTGGGTCGCCAGAAGTACCTGGTGGTGAGCTGGGGCAGGGGCCACAGCGCTGGGAGGCTGTGGAGCGTCCAACCAGCAGGTGGGGAGCTGCAGCCGCTCTGCCCTGGCAGGTGGGAGCCGGCGCCATCGGCTGTGAGTTGCTGAAAAACTTTGCCATGATGGGGCTGGCGGCAGGGCCAGGCGGGGAACTCATTGTCACCGACATGGACGCTGTTGCCCTCTCCAACCTCCATCGGCAGTTTCTCTACCGCTCAGCAGATATATCGGTGAGGTGGCATGAGGCAGGGACTGAGTTCCCCCTGAAGGGCATCTTGGCTGTCCCAAGGGCTGTAGGGGGGGAAGTGCTGACCATCCCCTCTCTGCCGTGGCAGGAGCCTAAGTCTGTGGTGGCCGCGAAGGCCATACGGCGAATGAACCCCCATGTCAGGGTGACAGCTCAGCAGAACCAGGTGGGACCTGCCACTGAGCCACTCTATGGGGACGACTTCTTCCGGCGCCTGGACGGTGTCACCAGCGCCCTGGACACAATGGAGGCCCGTGAGTGCTGGGAAGAGGAAAGGGGCTGAGCCCCTGGATGTACCCCCTGGCTCCCCAGCATTCCTGGCTCCCTGCAGGAACCTACTTGGAGAGCTGCTGCCTCCGATGCCGCACACCACTTGTGGACTCGGGCACAGAGGGGCCGCGGGGAAACGTGCTGCCCATGGTGCCACACCTGACCAAGCCTCTGGAGCCGGGTGGGACCCCCAGGGATGGCACCTTCGCCTCCTGCACCTTGCGGTACTTCCCCCGCACCATCCAGCACACACTGCAGGTAGGCTGAGCCACCCTGGCCACAGCACCCAGCAAGGAGGCACCATGACCTTTGTCTTCCTTCCCTGTTTCCCCTCCAGCAGTGAGCCACAGGCAGGATACAGCCCCAGCTGCTTCCTGCTGGTAGCCTGAGTGCTGCTGCTGGCCCTGCCATAGTCTCTTCCTCCTACTGGGTTTGGGTTGGCCATGAGGGGGGTCCCCGTGCTCAACACCCACTCTTCCTCCACAGTGGGCCCGTGATGAGTTTGAGGGGCTTTTCCAGCTGCCTGCAGAGCACATCAACCGGTTCATGGAGTGAGTGGGCTTGGGGGCAGTGACACTGGGAGAGGAGCTGCCAGCTCTGCCAGGGCACTGCTGGGGCTGGGGAGAGGATGCCAGACTGCTGCATCCCACCCAGGTGTCCCGCGGGATTGCTCTCAGGCCAGCATCAGCAGTGCCTGGTTTTACAGAGACCCAGCTTTCCTGGAGCAGCTGCCAGCGGGGAAGGCCCTGAAGGTCCTGGAGCAGGTGCGGGACAGGCTGCGGGAGCGGCCGCGGGACTGGCGGGACTGTGTGCTCTGGGCACGCCGGCACTGGCAGAGCCGCTACCACGATGCCATCGCCCAGCTGCTGCACATCTACCCCCCGGAGCATGTGAGCCCAGTGCCCATGGGGCTGGCACCCCTGCACCCCTTCCAGCCGCCTCGCTGCAGCCAGGGACACACATCCCTGGGCCTGATTTTTTTCTCCCTGTTCTAGGAAACCAGCCCGGGTGTCCCCTTCTGGGCAGGGGACAAGAGCTGTCCCCATCCGCTGACATTCAACCCTGAGAATGTGAGTGCAGGGAGAGCTGTGGGGTGCCTCCCGGGTGTCCCCTTCTGGGCAGGGGACAAGAGCTGTCCCCATCCGCTGACATTCAGCCCCGAGAATGTGAGTGCAGGGAGAGCTGTGGGGTGCCTCACGGGAACAGTGTGGGCTGAGGGAGAGCCGAGCCTGTGCCAGGGGTACAGGGATGCTGGACTGTGGTTGTGCTCCATCTGCCACAGTCTGTCCAGGGCTGACAGGTCCTGGGCTGGGTCTGTCCTTGTCCCATGGTCAGCAAGGGCACTGCTGGGTACAGCCTGCATGTGCTCTCTGGCCTGAGGAGGAGAGGCTCCTCCATCTCCACCTTGGGACAAAGCCAGACTGTTCTACCAGTTCAGGGCAGTGCAGGCAACCTTTGGCCGTGTGGGACCACCCCAGCAAGGCGTCCCATAGCCCCATTCTGCCCTGCAGGACACCCACCTGGACTATATCCTGGCCACTGCCCACCTCTTTGCCCAAGTACACAGGGTGCCACCATGCAGGGACCGGAGAGCCGCTCAGGACATCCTCCACAGTGTGGTCCTGCCACCCTCTGCACTCCAGGAAGGGCTTCAGATCCCCCTCACAGAGGAGCAGGAGGAGGCACAGAAGCCCACAGGTGAGGCACCTCACACTCCTTGGTCCCCTCGGGCACGTCCCCAGGTCCCCCAGTCCAGCCTGGTGGTGGTGGGGCTGCAACTGCTCCTCCCTGCTCCAGCACCCAGCAGGACCTGGACTGAGGTGGGGGCACTGTGCCGTGCCCCTTGCAGTGCCACAGTGCAGGGGTACCACACCAAGGGTTTGTGTGCCCCCAGACCGCAAGCAGCTGACAGAGCTTATCCAGGACCTGGCGCAGCAGAGACA